AAGTATTCAAGGTACTCTGACACCAGATGGGGGAACCTAGTGTACACAACCCGTGAAGTATTCAAGGTACTCTGACACCAGATGGGGGAACCTAGTGTACACAACCCGTGAAGTATTCAAGGTACTCTGACACCAGATGGGGGAACCTAGTGTACACAACCCGTGAAGTATTGAAGGTACCCTGACACCAGATGGGTAGTGTACACAACCCGTGAAGTATTCAAGGTACCCCGACATGAGATTGGGAACCTACAACAGAACCCACATATCTTGTTTCAACTTGGGAACGGAAGAACACACACGATAGCATCGATCGTTACCTTGTCCATTTCAATGATGTCATAGTTGGTATCTTTCACTCATCAGTGTATTCACGTTTTCAGGTATGTTCATTTTGTTGGGGATGCACTGTTTTTACTTGACACGCCATTTCTATCTGTTTTCTGGCATGTTTGATAATCTCTTAAAAGTCCATTTACGCAGAAAATAATTCAATTGATTTTTTTTCGATATATATTCCCGTCGTATTTTCTTGAGAGTCGAATTTTATTTTTTATTGTTTGATAAATCTCGTGAATGGTGAAAAATTGTGGACGTTTTTAATGTGGTTTAATATATTTTCAAATGTGAAACGATTTTTAGGAAAGGCTGTAAAAGCGAGAACTGTGAAAAGAATTAAATATAATTCAAATTTGTAAAATGCTAATAGGTTTAGAAACACTTCTATTATACAGAAGCATAATATAATTTAGGAATTTCAGAATTATGGAAGCATCATAAAGCAGAAATATTTTTAAAAAATCAATCCGTTAGAAAGGCACTGTTGTGCTGTTTCATTACTCTCTTCAAATATATTCACCAGTCAAAAGCTAAAAAAAAGTGAGCATCTTGTAATCCGATGTTCATAAACTTTTACTTACCTGCTGTAGGAACAATACAGGCGAATAGCAGCATCAACAACGTCGCCGATTTCATCTTGCGTCTGAGCAAATCGCAGATGTTATTGTCTATTTATGACTGAGGCCTCGCCCGGGTCTATTTGTCATATGTTGCAAGTGTTCTATCGATCATTATGCTACATGACAACTTGGTGTAACTTATCAGTGACAGATGTGCAGTTCATGATTTATGGCTCGTCATCTTGTCCTAGCCGCTTGATGTACCGCCGTCTAAGGCCACAATGATTATATTAGTTAAGCAGATCGAATGATGATTCAGGTTTTACGTCGAATTCTTCCACTCCAACCTAAATTCATAATTGTCCTAAATGAAATGAGTGAGTTTTGGTTTTACGCCGCTTTTAGCACTATTCCGGCAATATCACGGCGGGGGACATCAGAAATGGGCTTCACTCATTGTACCCATGTCGGGAATCGAACCCGGGTCTTCGCCGTGACGATCGAACGCTTTAACCACTAGGCTACCCGACCGCCCCTCTAAATGGAATGACACCACTCTAATGCATCCTAACAAAGGTAGTACGGGATGGGGTGGGTAGGTGGGGGATGTGAGTTTTTGGGAGGTGGGTGGTATAAATAAACAATTGAAAAAAATAATTTATTTATAAGATACCAAAATGCAAACCATCTTTGGTAAAAAAGTTAAGGGTCGGGCCGTTTGGTGGGGTCGGTCGAGGATAAGGTGAGTCGAGGAGAGGAGATAAAATGTTGTTTAACGTCGGGTTCAAGGTTATTGCACTTATACTCTGTGTGCGTGTGTGCGTGCGTGCGTGTGTGTGCGTGCGTGCGTGGCTGCTTCTACTACGGACATTATGTCGGTTTTATTGTGCAAGCCCACTCAGATACCGTGCCGCAGTTTATCATGGATACTTCACACAGACTCAGTACATGTGGCCTAATGGTTTATAACCGAAACGAGTTGTTTGTTCTTGCCATCATTCTTGTCGTTGCCCATGTTAAATAGTGTCATTAACTGAGGGGCAAAAAAAAGTATACCGAGTTTGTGTTTTATGTAATTGAAAATTGAAACAACTGTTCATAAATTGGATTATGTCTATCTAAAACCATCTTTTTCCCTGCAACAGTTTGCAAAAAATAATCTGTGGCTGAGTACTTTTGGAGTAATAAATTAAATGCAACCATATGACACCTATCGTGTTGGAGAAGTACATTTATGCCGAAGAGAGCAAATTTATTGTTTTTCAATCAGCAGTTGTGTATTATGACAAAAAGATACTGTTTCAATGTTTTAAATCAAATTTTATTTAAAAAGTAAAACCATGAGGAAATATTCTCTGAGTGACAAGCGCCAGTAGAGTTCATTTTTATTTATATAATATCGCTATTTCAAATGAAAATCAAACATATGAAAAATAAACTGACAGTTTTAGTTTCATTTTCTCCTCACTTACATATGTCTTCTGTTTGTACTTTTTTTATCACAGAATCGACATTTTGAAATAATTTCGTGGTCCAATGCACAGCGCACAGGTCACAAATCAGTTGAGGTTAAACATCGTCGGTCGCGAAAAGTCCTTGGATGGGTAACCACATTCGGCAGATTGTTTTAGGGCTTCGGTCCTGCTTCACACTGAAGCAAATATAACACCTGTGGCGTCTGCTTGGGCAAGTGGCTCTGTTCGAAATGTGCCCCTGTTCACCCAGCAGTGAATGGGTACCCGGTAGGATGAGATGTCAATGTGGTGGTTAACCTCCTAACGCCTAACAGGCAGCTTGGATTTTATACTCCCTAGGGAGATGAGAATGATTGTTGAGTCTAAACGAAACCAAATGTTATAATAATGGAGGTAGAGCAGGTATTCCTATCGCATTCCTCTCATCATACTGCAAACTAGTTTATTGCTTGTGATAATTGTATGAGTGTGACAACACACACGTGAGAGGAACGACGCTGTATCCATTCAATGACAAAGCAAAGACTCACTGCACCAAATTCAGTAACCTTTTACGACAGGCATAGTCGCCTTTTACGGCAAGCATGGGTTGCTGAAGACCTATTCTACCCCGGATCTTCACGGGCCCAGTGATTTGTGGTGTGGTAGTGGTTTACATTAACTTGTGATCTTGTCCCGTGTAGATACTGTCGAAATGTAGTAAGTAGAGGTGTCAAATTACCTGCTGGTGCTGTTATGTCACCATTCCAGGTAATGAAATTAACTAAAATATTTGAATTCTGAAACCTACTTGAGATTGCATACTTAAGCATGCAATTTATTTATGTCATAGAGACATATAGTACAAGGTTCTGTGCAAAATCTAAGGACCGAATACAAGAAACAAGGTCTTCCATACCGTTGTATCACTCTCCTCGTCTTCGCTTGCTCCCATCATTAGGTCTTCCCCGGAAGCTCCATCACCTAAATCATTGTCAGTCTGCGATTAGATACATTTAAAAAACATTCAGTGATACATTTTCGTTATTAATCGAAAGGGAAGGCAAGGTAGATTTCAAAATATATGCTTCATAGCTATAACATCTCTCACACAAGACGTGTTAATGATACAATTTGATAGTGTGGCAAATTGGTGCACTGATAAACTAAGCTGCCACTTCATTGCCATTTTTAAAAAAACCTGCCACAAGCAATACCAGGTAACAATGTAGAAGGTATACCCAACTACGAGCATGCAGTCTCGTATATAATAACGAGATATGTAAATAGTTATTAAAACGTGTCAGGAAGTTGTCACCTACAAGCCCACACCGGTACCTGACGTCACCACCCAACCCCCAGGGTGGGTGTGTGAGTTGGGTTTAACAGTATTCCAGTTATATCGCAGCGTGTTAGCTTAATGTGGGAGGAAAGCCCGAAGTGATGCAGGTCTCAGAACGTTTACCACTTCGGTGAAACCCACGAGCACGGGTATGTTGCTGACAAACCTAGAAACATAATCGGGGCGAACCGGGATTCGAACCCACAATCATAAGTTTTTGACGTGAGTAGATGATACTGGCGGTCAGCCATGTTTGGCTGCATGAAAAATGCGACAGCAGACCAACTTTCGAAAACTGGCTTGCAATTTCCTGAGGTAACAATAACAGACCCCAACCAAAAGATTTCGACTTTATTTTATCAAAGTCATTCACCACAAGCTGGCAACAGTTCTTGGATGCTGGGACAACTTGCAAACATATGAATTCAATTTGTCCTTCTGTAAAAACAAATAGGACAATTCGTCGAAGAAAGAAACGTGAGTCATTATTATATGACTGCACCTTGGACACTGTGGGTTAAAACCGCAGTGTCATTAATAAAGATGTCTCCCCTGTTTGTACACACGGTGTACTGACTTTTAAACCATTTTTACAGTTTTCCTTTTTTGTCTGATCTGGTTATCTTATGGAATTAGTTGTTACTTTTCATAAATGAAATAGTGAGTACTTGCTGTTTTAATATATATATATATAAATACGATCATGAAGCAAATATTTCTTCTCTTCTTTTCCACTACTCAGTTTGCTCTTGTTTAAAAGACCCGTGGAGATTCCGGGGTAGAATAGGTCTTCAGCAACCCATGCTTGCCGTAACAGGCGACTAACGGGATCGGGTGGTCAGGCTCGCTGACTTGGTTGATGCATGCCAACGATCCCAATTGCGTGGATCGATGCTCATGATAACAATCACTGGATTGTCTGGTCCAGATTCGATAATTACAGACCGCCGTTATATATCTCGACTATTGCTGAGTGCGGCGTTAAACAACAAACCAACCAACCAATCTTGTTTAAACAATATTCATGTGTTGGGCGCAAATATGCCTTTAATGTCCCAAGTCGCCGTTAAACCCATATACCATACCATACTTTAACATAGCATACCAAGTGTGTTCGGGTTCTGGTGGGTTCTGTCAGGCTGGCTGCCTTGGCTGGCTGCATTTGGCTGTTGAGTGAAATTATTGCCAGGAGAGTATGGGGGAGAATATCCTCCCTCGTGTACATACACCCTTGAAGTGCATCCTCCCGACTACGCTAGCTCACTCATTCACTCATTATTTGCTAAATAACCAAAACACCTTTGATGACTGCAAGAGGTACACAATGCTGACCATGTTTATTTCATCTGATGATGTTCAGTACAGATACAGTCAGGAGTCTGAGCAGTGCATATTTAGTGTACAGCTTGAGCTGAAAACAAAAAATTAAAGCTAAATATTTAGTTACGTTTCTTGTAAGATCTCGAACTGTAACCATAAGATGGTTTTACAAATGTTTAGGAGTAACGATTATTGTAATGTTAGTGTTATTCTTAAAAAAGTGATAACGATGAAACTCATCAATCAATAAGAACATAAGAAAAGGTAGATGGGGAGGAAGTGGTAGTCAGAAGATGGGGAAGATTGTGGTAGTGGGTAGGTAGGGAGGATGTGGTAGCAGGTAGGTGACGAGGATGTGGTGGTGGGTAGATGAGGGAGATTCTGGTAGCAGGTAGGTGAGGAGGATGTGGTGTGGGTAGATGGGGAGAATGTGGTAGTGGGTAGATGGGGAGGATGTGGTAGCAGGTAGGTGAGGAGGATGTGGTGTGGGTAGATGGGGAGAATGTGGTAGTGGGTAGATGGGGAGGATGTGGTAGCAGGTAGGTGAGGAGGATGTGGTAGCGGGTAGGTGAAGAGGATGTTGTAGCGGGTAGGTGAGGAGGATGTGGTGGTGGGTATATGGGGAGGATGTGGTGGTGGGTAGATGGGGAGGATGTGGTAGCAGGTAGGTGAGGAGGATGTGGTAGTGGGTAGGTGAGGAGCACGTTGTAGTGGGTAGGTGACGAGGATGTGGTAGTGGGTAGGTGAGGAGGATGTGGTAGTGGGTAGGTGAGAAGGATGTGGTAGTGGGTAGGTGAGGTTGATGTGGTAGCAGGTAGGTGAGGAGGATGTGGTAGTGGGTAGGTGAGGAGGATGTGGTAGTGGGTAGGTGACGAGGATGTAGTAGTGGGTAGGTGAGGAGGATGTGGTAGTGGGTAGGTGAGGAGGATGTGGTAGCAGGTAGGTGAGGAAGATGTGGTAGTGGGTTGGTGAGGAGGATGTGGTAGCAGGTAGGTGAGGAGGATGTGGTAGTGGGTAGATGAGGAGGATGTGGTAGTGGGTAGGTGAGGAGGATGTGGTAGTGGGTAGGTGAGGGGGATGTGGTAGTGGGTAGGTGAGGAGGATGTGGTAGTGGGTAGATGAGGAGGATGTGGTAGTGGGTAGGTGAGGGGGATGTGGTAGTGGGTAGATGAGGAGGATGTGGTAGTGGGTAGGTGAGGAGGATGTGGTAGCAGGTAGGTGAGGAGGATGTGGTAGTGGGTAGGTGAGGAGGATGTGGTAGTGGGTAGGTGAGGAGGATGTGGTAGCAGGTAGGTGAGGAAGATGTGGTAGTGGGTAGGTGAGGAGGATGTGGTAGCAGGTAGGTGAGGAGGATGTGGTAGTGGGTACATGAGGAGGATGTGGTAGTGGGTAGGTGAGGAGGATGTGGTAGTGGGTAGGTGAGGGGGATGTGGTAGCAGGTAGGTGAGGAGGATGTGGTAGTGGGTAGGTGAGGAGGATGTGGTAGTGGGTAGGTGAGGAGGATGTGGTAATGGGTAGGTGAGGGGGATGTGGTAGTGGGTAGGTGAGGAGGATGTGGTAGTGGGTAGGTGAGGAGGATGTGGTAGTGGGTAGATGAGGAGGATGTAGTAGTGGGTAGGTGAGGAGGATGTAGTAGTGGGTAGATGAGGAGGATGTGGTAGTGGGTAGGTGAGGAGGATGTAGTAGTGGGTAGGTGAGGAGGATGTGGTAGTGGGTAGGTGAGGAGGATGTGGTAGTGGGTAGGTGAGGATGTGGTAGTGGGTAGGTGAGGAGGATGTGGTAGTGGGTAGATGAGGAGGATGTAGTAGTGGGTAGGTGAGGAGGATGTAGTAGTGGGTAGGTGAGGAGGATGTGGTAGTGGGTAGGTGAGGAGGATGTAGTAGTGGGTAGGTGAGGAGGATGTGGTAGTGGGTAGGTGAGGAGGATGTAGTAGTGGGTAGGTGAGGAGGATGTAGTAGTGGGTAGGTGAGGAGGATGTAGTAGCAGGTAGGTGAGGGGGATGTGGTAGTGGGTAGGTGAGGAGGATGTGGTAATGGGTAGGTGAGGAGGATGTAGTAGTGGGTAGGTGAGGAGGATGTAGTAGTGGGTAGGTGAGGAGGATGTGGTAGTGGGTAGGTGAGGGGGATGTGGTAGTGGGTAGGTGAGGAGGATGTGGTAATGGGTAGGTGAGGAGGATGTAGTAGTGGGTAGGTGAGGAGGATGTAGTAGTGGGTAGGTGAGGAGGATGTGGTAGTGGGTAGGTGAGGAGGATGTAGTAGTGGGTAGGTGAGGAGGATGTAGTAGTGGGTAGGTGAGGAGGATGTGGTAGTGGGTAGGTGAGGGGGATGTGGTAGTGGGTAGGTGAGGAGGATGTAGTAGTGGGTAGGTGAGGAGGATGTAGTAGTGGGTAGGTGAGGGGGATGTGGTAGTGGGTAGGTGAGGAGGATGTAGTAGTGGGTAGGTGAGGAGGATGTGGTAGTGGGTAGGTGAGGAGGATGTGGTAGTGGGTAGGTGAGGAGGATGTGGTAATGGGTAGGTGAGGAGGATGTAGTAGTGGGTAGGTGAGGAGGATGTAGTAGTGGGTAGGTGAGGAGGATGTAGTAGCAGGTAGGTGAGGGGGATGTGGTAGTGGGTAGGTGAGGAGGATGTGGTAATGGGTAGGTGAGGAGGATGTAGTAGTGGGTAGGTGAGGAGGATGTGGTAATGGGTAGGTGAGGAGGATGTGGTAATGGGTAGGTGAGGAGGATGTGGTAGTGGGTAGGTGAGGAGGATGTGGTAATGGGTAGGTGAGGGGGATGTGGTAGTGGGTAGGTGAGGAGGATGTAGTAGTGGGTAGGTGAGGAGGATGTGGTAGTGGGTAGGTGAGGAGGATGTGGTAGTGGGTAGGTGAGGAGGATGTGGTAGTTGGTAGATGAGGAGAATGGGGTTTGGGTGGATGAGGGAGAATATTGTAGTGGGTAGATTTGTGCAAATGATGAGATTGAAGTGGGTAGATTGTGATTGTGGGTACATAGGGAGATTGTGGTATTGGATAGATTGGGAGATTGTGGTAGTGAGTAGATGGGGAGTATGTGGTAGTGGGTAGATAGGGAGGATGTGGTAGTGGGTAGATGGGGAGGATGTGGTAGTGGGTAGATATGGTAGTTGATAGATGTAATAGATGGGGAGGATGTGGTAGTGGGTAGATGTGGTATAGTGGGTAGATGAGGAGAATGTGGTTGTTGGTGGATGAGGGAGATTATTGTAAGTGTAGATTTGTGCAAATGATGAGATTGAAGTGGGTTTGATGGAGATTCAGAAAAAAAGCGCCTTGTTGGAAGGCCTGGCGAAGAAAATATTCGCATAAGCACTCATTGTAATATTTCAGATAAGGTTCCAGCTGGGATGACTTACGGTTTTTCTTAGAATTTGTCCATTCCCTCGGGCTGCTGCAAGGCTTTGGCTCTCTTCCCCAAAAGCGCGTCAGCCAGTAAAGACTGGGAGGACCTCTTCTTCCGACCTAAGGGGAAGAAGAGGTAGAAATAGAACTTTGAACTGTGACGGGATGTGCCACGATTTACAGTAGGTAAATTTAATATAAACCTCCGAAGAAAAGAAAGTATACGCTAAAAATATGGATTTTAAATAGTTTGAAAGATGCATATGAAACAGTTAAAAATTGCTTACATCCATTTTCGGGCTCTGAACAAATGCACGTGCAGAAATGGTATAGCATGTAATTGATCGTTGCCAAAACATCACAGGTAATGAAAAAGCACACAGGATATGCCATGTTTAAACTGCACAACAGAGAGAGAGAGACGGTCGTAGGCATGCGGCAGATAGGTGCCAACCATTCCCAGAGTAAAACCGTACACATGCAACCATCGTGAGGCAGACTGTACTGGAAGCACACAAGACAACACTTGGCAAGGACAATACAATGCTGACAGAGAGTGCTTTTAACTGCTTTTTCCATTACGGTTCAAATCGTTCTCGAGGCGCAGGGGGTAACGGATGGTACTAGGCCGCGACAAGGACGTGCATTCATATGGTGGCAGGGATTTATTTCAACTAACGGACAGGGCTTGTCATCCTCAGTGGCAACCTCACCGTCCGTGGTGTTACCATTTCCTCGCCAATAAAAACAGAAAACAGTCCTTGGCCGCTTGGCCAAAAGATGCAAGGGGCGTCCAGGACTTCTTGGTTGCGCACAACGTCGCCGTTCTTCCAGGGCCATTTCGCTCGTCACACTTAAACCCAATTGAACAATTGTGACTTCATCTGGATCGTCGGATCAGGAGGCGCCCTCATCCACCACAGAACCGTCAACATCTTGAAGCTGCGCGGAGGACGAGTGGCAACGGATTCCCATGGACAATCATCAGGCGGGTGACGACATCGATGAGACGGCGTGCGCTGGTGCTCGTGGTGATATATTGATGATATCTGGTGTCTGTGGACCAACCCAAACTGATCATGACAATACCTGCTTCACTCTTCTCATTACTGTGATAAACGTGAAGATCTGGATTAGAATAGGTCTTCAGCAATCCATGCTTGTTGTAAAAGGCGACTGTGCTTGTCGTAAGAGGCGACCAACGGGATCGTAGATCGATGCTCATGATGTCAATCACTAGATTGTCTGGTCCAGACTAGATTATTTACAGCCGTCTTATAGCTGGAATATTGCAGAGTGCGGCGTTACACCAAACAACCATGACTGTGAAATTTCGTCCCTCGTGTTCTCTGAAACGACATGTGCACGTCACCTGTTGTGGGGTACTCAATGATACAGCAACTCTTCATACAGCAACTTGGTGGGATTATTGTTCAAAGTAGAATATGTATTCGGACTTTGCTTCAAGACATACAATTGTTTCTCTCATAAAAGAAATCCAGCGAACAAATATGTTTTGGTGACGGGAAACAATGTTTAGACAGATAGGGTAATCTGAAGTCGTCAAAAGTGCAGACAAATAACCTCAACACGATTCCCGCGTGTGAGTAAATATGATGGCTAAATAAACAGCACATAAATTCTTACCGCAGTAGTTGCAACATGGCGGCGGTCCACAGCAATGCACGCAGAACAGTCCTGGGGAGAACATTACACATTTCAACATTGGACAGTGACAGCGGTGAACCTACTGTTTTAAATGTTGATTTGAAATATGATTTGGTATTTGGTTGAATACTTTTCCCACATTAAGACACACTACTGAGTTGGCCCAGCACTGAGTCAGTGAGTGAGTTGGGTTTAACGCCGTTTTTAACAGTATTCCATTTATATCACGGCGTGTCAGCTTAATGTGGGAGGAAAGTCCGAAGTGATGCAGGTGCCAGACGTTTACCACTTCGGTGAAACCCACGAGCACGGGTATGGTGCTGACAACCTAGAAGCATAATCGGGGCGAACCGGGATTCGAACCCACAATCATAGGTTTCCGGCGTACCCAAGGGACGCAACTCTGCACAGCGAATCGAGGCACCTTAGGCGACTGGGCTTCTAATGAACCCCATGGTAGAATGAAATGAGTGAGTATGTTTTTTCGCCGCTTTAATCATGTTCCTTCAATGTCACGGCGAGGGCACCACAAATGGGCTTCAAACATTTTATACATGTGACGATTCGAACCTGGGCCTTCAACGTGAAGAGCGAACGCTTTAACAACTAGGTTATCCCTGTGACCTGGTAGAATGGATATTGCAGCATTGTCGCCCTATTCAAAATACATATATATTTTTTAATATAAATATATATTCCGCTATAACGGCTGAGAAGTGGGACAGACTAGTGGTTCAACAGGCCGAATATTTTCCACACGGATACAAGGTGATCAAGCCCTTGATACGGCCAGCCTGATATTGCCGAAGTATTGCTCAAGACGGCATTAAACCATTGTTATTGACTCACTTACCACTTCACAGCTGTCAGTGGCGATGAGGTTGATAGCGTGAGCACTTTACCACGGCCTCTGTGTGTGAGGGGTGCTTATAGGTGTATTCCACCACCATTCACATACCCAGTGTTTGAGTGAGTGAGTCAGTTGGATTTAACGCCGCTTTTAACAGTATTACAGTTATATCACGGCGTGTCAGCTTAATGTGGGAGGAAAGCCCGAAGTGATGCAGGAGTCAGACGTTTACCACTTCGGTGAAACCCACGAGCACGGGTATGGTGCTGACAGACCTAGAAACATAATAGGGGCGAACCGGGATTCGAACCCAAAATCATAGGTTTCTGGCGTGCCCAAGGGACGCAACTCTGCACAGCGAATATGTGGCACAGCGACTGTGCCACCCGTGCCCCCGGTAGAAAGAAGAATTTTGCCACGTATTGATTGCTGAAGGAAAAGCTCGTTTGAACGAAATCGTCCATATCCTCTACCAGACTTTATTTAAGAACTTAAATTACTAAATGATAACAAAACACTGCTGCTTTGTCATTTGTCATTTGTGATTAGGTGCCTCACTCTTGCAATGTGGGTTCGAATCCCGGACTGGACTCAACCCAACAAAGTACTAGAATCTGTACTTTACTCAGAAAGTGTTATCCCAAATATAACATTTGTCACATTTGACCGCTTTCTAAATGGCATAGTGTATTCATATAATATTCTTGTTGCTGATAAAAGCGCAATGAATTCAATTTACGGTCATTCTTTAAGTGTAAACTGCGATTCCTCCAACACACGTCAGATGAGGAGGCAGCAGCATACATTGGGACATAAACAGGTAGACCGAAACAAATACAATTTTAAAAACATTTTGTCGTAGAAATAAAGAAATTAAAAAATACAATTCAGTGTAACAATGAGAATAGATGCACGAAGAAAATAGACTACCATAATTATTTTTAGAATCAGTGACTAATCCTAGTTACCGATATCAGAAACGCACAATAAGATGCAGCAGTATCGCTCGGGGTATTTGTGGTTTTATGCGTCTCGCGTTAGGTTTTTTACCACGATCCGGAACCTAACGGGGCATGCTTAGAAGCACAGATGTCCCGAGTGATATTGCTACAACGAATTGATCTTGCCGACATCTTTTAATCTGTCATTATATGGAATTGAAACGGATTGAAAATTTTGAGAAAACAGCTGTTCGATTTAGCTAATGTTAACTTTTGCTGTGTCACGTGACTTTCATTGACTCGTAAACAACGTGCAGCTGTTGCTTTTTGCGTTATGTACGAAAACTACTAAGTCCCGCATGAAATACTGGCAATCTCTCCGGCCTGTCACGAGAGCAATCCAATTCGGACCGTTCCACTATAGGCCAAACTATGGGCGCTGCCTCACCTATCCCTCTTCTCCACAGTCTTAGAACTGGCTGCCACATGCATCCTGTTTTCTTCGTGACGGGGTATATTCGATTCATTCTATGGCTCACTCAGGCGGGATACGAAGTGTTTTATCAAGATCACGTGAACCAATCAGACCTCAAGGACATGGAGGAAAGTGTAGTTACATACACACCCAGAAAACTTACATACATGCATTGGACTTGGGAAAGACTTTACCTTACGTGAAAAGTATGACGTCATGAAATGAATTTCCCACGCGATAGCACCGGTGGTGCGTTCAAAATAGATGCATCGCCAAAGCGATGAGTAAGTCTTTGTAAACGGAGGATGCTATCTGTGATAAGTTTAATGCAGAATAAGACTATTTCTGTTGAAACCACATCATGAAATAAGTTAGTTATTATAACATATTTATAATGCTTCCTTGTAAATAAATGTTAGTAGTAGGATTTTAATACCTTCTGTGCCTTCCGTGGAAGGCGCCCTATGAATATTCATGAGCCAAGTGTTATGCTAATAGACATGCATGACGTCACAATGAGAACGGAGTCATCATGCATGTTAAGAATGTGAAAAATGCGGCCTTTGTTAAAATGGCTCAGGGGAGGAATACTTTAGGAATGCCAGCTATTTGGAATGTAGTCGGGGTAGATTCCTTCAGATACATACTAGAATGATTGTCAGCAAATGGAATGTCACCTTTTCATGGAAGAACGTGGACATGTGTTAACACCCTTCTCTGCTTAGCGTAGCCTATCTCTCTTCACCTTAAACCAGAACCAATCATTTTAAATGTTAATTATAGACATGATGCCAAAAGGTTATCTAACCAATCAGCTCACTTTTCCCTTTCAACAGCCAATGAATTTATAACTTCTTCTTGATATAATGCATGCGTACATTCGTTTGTCTTTCCGTTTTCAACTGCCGAGTTGAGTTGGGAAAAGGTCTATGTGTGTGTGTGTGTGTGTGTGTGTGTGTGTGTGGTGTGGTGTGGTGTGGTGTGGTGTGTGTGTGTGTGTGTGTGAACGTCTCATCATGGCAACAATGAAAGCAGATAGGTTCGTATTGTTTTAAGTTATCTCCATTCAGTCAACACTACGCTACTGTCATTCATATAGACGACAAAGAATTTAACTGTGCTGAACAATATTACATGTACAGCAAAGCAGTGACATTTGAAGATTGGGACTCAGCCGAGGAGATTTTAAGAAGTTCATCACCTGCAGAGCAGAAACGACAGGGTAAACATGTTAGACAGTTTAACCAATTGAAGTGGGACAGTGTTAGCTGTGATGTGGTGCGAAAAACATCTCTTGCGAAATATCGTCAGTCTGCTTACTTAAAAGACATTCTGATCAACTCGTATCCTAGAATTCTCACAGAGGTTAGTCCTTATGATAGGCGATGGGGTGTTGGACTCTCTCTTCATTGTACTTCAATCGAAATGGAGAGGAGACAATTTATAAGGGAAAATATTAATGGAAGTCAGAGACATTATCATGGCCAAAAAATATCTGATGTATTATACAGAAAAAACACTGAAAAGGCCACCTTTTACACGTGGAAATCTGTGTTGCGAGCAGCCGACCACCTCAACGAAACAGTTGTTGTACAATTCCCCCAATAGTTTCAAGACAGAGACCAATGTGTGCTAGATGCGAAGACCAAGTTCCATGACGACGTGGAAGCAACCAAGCGGATCATCGTCAAGAAAATACGTCCTGAGAAAGTTGTAGCGGATGAAGTGGAGCTGTTTGTGTGATCCAGTATATTGAATCCTTGCTGACATTGTGTTACAGTTTGGAACTCAGTAAAATCATCAAGCGTTTGTCTACTGAATTCTGCTTTGGTTGTATGTTTGACGGAGAAGGAGAACAACTTCACACTTGTCGTGACTTGTCTGAACAAGACAAAGTCAATCAGTTCTTTAACATGGGCATGTCCGAGGTAAATCACGTGATTGAAAAGTGGATTCCACTGGTTCGAGACAACCCCTCTTCAAAACACCTGTCGATATTCACAATATGTCAATATCAATGTACAGATTATGATAATGAACAATTTAAGACAGCTAAATGGTGTGACGAGTTAAAGACGCGTGTTGTAAAAATGCTGCAATTAGAACAAATGTTTGCATGAATAAAATAATCTTCTGATCAGTGTCTGATTGTTTTGTGATTATTGCTTATCATATATTTGTTGATCCATAATGTCTGTACAGACTGAGAAAGAGGAAGCTTAACCATCGTGTTTGGAGGTATTTGAGATGCCACCTTATTTCAAATACCCATTGTATTCAATAAACTGTTAGCATTAATTCATGTGTTTCTGTCATGTATTGAGATATAAACTATTTCATCTGCTTACACATACTCATGTTTTCTAACGACTACAGGCTATAAAACATGGAAAAGAAAACTCAAAATATTTTCAGCGGAAGATGCTGTGAGGGGAGGACGTCTTAAGATTGACATGGCTGAAAAGTCCAGTTATCTGTCCCGAGATATATTTGCAACTAGTGTACGCCCAAACTAAAAAGACAAGCAAATGAAAATGTTAAACAGAATAGAAATAACACAAAGAAGACCAAACAAAGAAAAAGTGACAACCCGAGAACAAGCTACATTTAAAGTAAAATCTATGATGCAATCTGTCCTTCAGAGGATCATGGATCAGATTAAAGACGTAATAATATTGGGGGAAACCATCTGAAAGGCAACAAAGAGTAGGAGGTACCATGCTCTGCATGTAGAAATTAATTTTGAGGTGCCATGCCAACCTCAGACATAAGACAACTGTTCATCTGCCACTACCACTACCAGCACCATCCTTAAGGGTAGACACATCTTATTGAGACCCAGTGTCACAGTAGTCACCATGAGTCAACATCTTGTCCAAAATGTAGGAACACTTTTCCCGATATGATAATATGATGACACGCAGAAGACAGATGCATCAGGCCCTTCACCCTCCTCCTCCTCCTCCTCCTCAACCTCCTCCTCCGCCTCCTCCTCCTCTTCCTCCTCCTCCTCAAGCCCCTCCCCTTCCTCACACTTGGGCCAAGTGGTTGTAGAAAGACTATGTTTGTTTATCAGATACTAGGGCTGCAACGATACAGGAAGGTCGCGTTACGATACGCATCTCGATACTCTGGTCACGATACGATACGTATCTCGATACGCAATGATAAAAAAAACAAGACTTAAAGCATGTCAAGATTGAACCTTTCATGATTTTGGAACAGTCAAAATTATTTTATAATAACAAGACTACTGAAGTTGTTCAGCTTCAAAGTGGAACTTTCTCAAACTTTCGTTCAAAAAAATTCAAAGTTCAAAAACAAGAAAATAATTAATGTACAACTTCAAAGAATTTTGATGCAATGGTCGAAGAAATTGTATCTGAAATTATTGTTTTATCAGGAATAATAAATTTCAATATCGTGTTACCTTAGTTGCAGCTCTTCACACACGATTTCACATAACTTAATAAAAACAATATTAAATGAAATTTTGAATACAATTAATAAAATATATTACAAACACAAGTCCAGATATACAATGAACACGTTTTAATAACAAGATAGTATAATATTGGTATTGAATTGCGTACTTCAGTTCGGATTTGCTGACTGGTATTTCCATTGTTATGTGCTTGCGGTGATCAGCTGATAATGTTTTATGAGATGGGGAAAAACATCTGTCAGTGTAAAACCTGAGCTTATTAAAAATGTAAGTAATGTAAGTTTTTGGGAGCCATGTGATAGAGCGCGCTATAACCAAGTTAGCAGTTTATTGAAAGGCACAATAGCGAGGAAACCCTGTACTTGAGATTTGCGTTCCGTATCGTGGCGTATCGATAAATCGTATATCGTGTCGTGGGTCAAGTATCGCGATGCATCGGAATATCGGTGTATTGTTTCACCCTTATCAGATACTGAAAAGAGGACTCCTCAAACCAATACCTAACAACATCATATGGTGTTACACTGAGTGGCACCCTCTTTATCATAAATACTATTAGTAAAACTGTACCATATGTAACCTTTATCAAAGGCATTCCTTCCAATCTACACGATGAACATTTTTTTATGCCCGGAACAACAACATGATTGTTTTAGATGACTTGATGTCCGAAACAAAAAATGATAAACCCATATCTCAACTGTTTACACGTACCTCCCACAAAAATGTCATTAACGTTCTGTTATTGCAAAACCTGTTTCCTAGAGGTAAAGAGTCACGTGACATTGCTCTGAATCGAACTCTCATGTAACTCTATTCAATTCTCCAGTCAATAGACACCAGGTGAACTTATTTGCCGTACGCATTTATCCTCAAAACTCAGATAACTTCATGTCAGTACATAACGAAGCAGTGCAACGCACTTATGGGAAGCTAACTGTAGACCTAAGACCTTACACTAGTGAAAAGGAACGACTACAACCTAATAATTAACAATGAATCTGAACAAAAAGGAGACAAACCCGTCAACACAACCCGCTTTGACCCGCAACAACAGTGCTGTAAAAGCGCTGATTTTCAACCACGGAGCACTCAGATGTATGGAAAATCTCGCCAACATAACACCACCACATCGGCACGTGAGGAAAACGTCAATACAAGACAGAACTTCAACAGTGCTAATTTTGATGACATAACAAGCGACTCTTCTGACGAAGACACAAGTTCCCACGTCATGGCTACTGCTTGTACCGATTGTGGCGTCTTGGTAGGCAACATGCGAGACCTACAGCATCATATCAGGATGTGGTGCCCCGAGAAGAAATGAAAATCGTTAAGAAAACGTATGACGAGGACAGCAACGTCGACAATGAAGACGTACCTATCCAGAAAGGAGGCAGAGACCAAACTGCACATAACCCAACTGGAAATGAATGGCAAGAAGTCGGCCTACAACGTGTGTGGGCTCGTGTGTATAATATATATCGAGAGGACATGAAACTTAAAGGGCAAAAGTATCGAGAGCGAGGAAAATCAGAGGTGTGGACTAATAACATTTTGAAAAAACATGGGAAGACATGTTTTCCCATCACAAAACGAAAATTTACAAAATGGTGAAACATTTTTTTCCCACGGCTTCGTGCATGGCTGGTCACCACTTCAGTCTAGAGAGTGAGTGAGTATGGTTTTACGCCGCTTTTAGCAATATTCCAGCAATATCACGGCGGGGGACACCAGAAATGGGCTTCACACATTGTACCCATGTCGTGAATCGAACCCGGGTCTTCGGCGCGACGAGCGAACGCTTTAACCACTAGGCTATCCGACCGCCCCTCAGTCTAAAGAGAATGTGTGTCAGATAATCTATTCAGAGTGACATTCCACTTCGCTCAGCCATTCAACATAAAGAGAAAACTTGGAATTTGGGATAAACTATTCAGAGCGACATTCCAATTCATTCAAGTGAAGTGAATAGTTAACTTCGAAACAAGTTTCAAAATGTTAAAACATTTTTTCACCACAGGTGACCCAAGTCTCACAAAGCGGCAGCCAATATTCACGCAAGGATAATGGATATCTGAGGTATTGCTCCCATCTAGGTCAGTCAGTACAAGGAGTGCCCCGTCCATTCATACAGCCGGATGTCGGTCGGGGTCCCAAAATTATTTTCAAAGTACATACTAACGTAATATCTCTAAACAGGGTACTGTAACTTGTGGGTTACCGTAAGGGGGCGGTTATTTCTATAAGACCATTTACGGTGGTATATCACAGTATAAGGTTGAGGCAAGTAAATTGAAGTAAACTTTAACATACTATCAACGAGTCAGACAAGTTCTGAAGTCGTGTGGAATAAGGGATAGTACTCCAAATAGCTGGCATTCCTAAAAAATTCCTTGTCTGGGCCATTTTAACAAAGGTTGCATTCTTCGCATCCTTACCATTCATGCATAATGACTCCGTTCACATTGTGACGTCATGCATGCATGTGTATTAGCATAACACTAGGCTCATGAATATTCATAGGGCATTAGTGATTAGAACTAAATGCCTTTATGTTAGGCTTGGCACAGTATATATTATTACCGCTAATTACCTTCATTCCGTGCGGCTACGTGCTGATTTGCATGGTGCCAACGTCTCTGGCCTAGATTCGCTCTTGGCACGTCCGGTTAAGGAGCGTTTGTTTATATTTTCTATGACCTTTTGTAGCGTGACATCAGCTCACGCAGCACTTGCTCTCCAGCTTTCAACCGTACAACACAAAGTTATATTCCCGCATTCATCTATAGTTTGTTGCACCCACCCACCCACCCTGTTATCCTTAATTCCAAGTTATCCAAGCTTTGCAGTTGTCAATTTGGTGGAACTTTACTGGAGCATAATGTTTGTATATAATGATGTTGTCATGAATAAAATGTTGCGGATGGGCGGGGTGCTGGTGGACTGCATTACAAGTTACATTTGGCGTCTTGGGATACATCCCAAATTATAAATTATTTAGGATAGGGTTGCCCGCTTTACAGCAGGAACCAATTTATCCATTCGGCTTTACAGCAGATGGCTTAGTGTCCGCTTTACAGCGGATGGTCAGCTTGGCAACAATAGTTGCCCTCGCTCATGGTTTGGCAATGGTACTTGCCTGGCAGCGATAGCTGCATAGCAACATGGGTTGATTGGCAACGGTAGTTGCAGGGCAGCGGTTGCTGCAGTTGGGGTTGCTTAACAAGGGTTAGGCTCATTTCTGCAGTCCACCAGTACCTCCACATCCGCGACCATTTCATCCAATAATATCTCTTGTCTTAATTTGAAGTTCCGCTATCATGCATGATGGCGGAGCCTGTCATAATGGAGCCATGTCCTTATATAATTAGATTCCTACTACTAATGTTTTGTTTGCTTCCAAAATAGGAGAGACCTTGAAATATGACGGTCGTTTTTTTAAAGTTATATAATGTTGTGTAGCATGTTTGGATCTTGTCATATGATTGTCACTTGCACTGAGCGTGCACGACACTTGCACTGAGCGTGCACGACACGTGCACGTTTCAAAATGGGTTCCTACCTGTGCCGAGAGTCGAATCGAGCCGAGCGCGATCAGAATGCACTATAAACGGAAATGTATACTTACCTGGTTCTTTCTTGACTCGTCCTGCTGAAAACAATAGACATAAAAGATAATACACAATTGGGTAGGGTTAACCCTTATCCACACAAGATTAATCCTATCTGAAATCTCCGAAGGCTTCCCAAATAGCATCGTAGATATTTCGCGGGTTTGTATACACTACAGTTCAAAGATGGGGGAGTTAGTGTTTACAACTTGTGAATTAATGACAGTAAGGTGTCCCTACAGCAGATGGGGGAACCTAGTGTTCACAACCCTTATAGTATTGAGGGTGTCCCTACAGCAGATGAGGGAACCTAGTGTACACAACCCGTGAAGTATTGACGGTGTCCCTACAGCAGATGAAGGGACTAGTGTACACAACCCGTGAAGTATTGACGGTGCCCCTACAGCAGATGAGGGAACCTAGTGTACACAACCCTTATAGTATTGAGGGTGTCCCTACAGCAGACGAAGGGATCTAGTGTACACAACCCGTGAAGTATTGACAGTGTCCCTACAGCAGATGGGGGAACCTAGTGTACACAACCCGTGAAGTATTGACGGTGTCCCTACAGCCGAGGGGGGAACCTAGTGTACACAACCCGTGAAGTATTGACGGTGTCCCTACAGCAGATGGGGGAACCTAGTGTAGACAACCCGTGAAGTATTGACGGTGCCCCTACAGCAGATGGGGGAACCTAGTGTTCACAACCCGTGAAGTATTGACGGTGTCCCTGCAGCAGATGGGGGAACCTAGTGTACACAACCCGTGAAGTATTGACGGTGCCCCTACACCAGATGGGGGAACCTAGTGTACACAACCCGTGAAGTATTGACGGTGTCCCTGCAGCAGATGGGGGAACCTAGTGTACACAACCCGTGAAGTATTGACGGTGCCCCTACAGCAGATGGGGGAACCTAGTGTACACAACCCGTGAAGTATTGACGGTGTCCCTAAAGCAGATGGGGGAACCTAGTGTACACAACCCGTGAAGTATTGACGGTGTCCCTGCAGCAGATTGGGGAACCTAGTGTACACAACCCGTGAAGTATTGACAGTGTCCCTACAGCAGATGGGGGAACCTAGTGTACACAACCCGTGAAGTATTGACGGTGTCCCTACAGCCGAGGGGGGAACCTAGTGTACACAACCCGTGAAGTATTGACGGTGTCCCTGCAGCAGATGGGGGAACCTAGTGTACACAACCCGTGAAGTATTGACGGTGTCCCTACAGCCGAGGGGGGAACCTAGTGCACACAACTCGTGAGGTTTTGACAGTGTCCTTTAGGTCAGTAATGTCAAAGTTTTGCCTTGGCCAGCTCGCCAAGTAAACATCTATGAAACCACATTGATCGTCAAATTAGAAAACGACTTTACCGTCCCCCTTTTTGTTTATTGATAAATACATGTATATTCGATGGTGAAAATTTTTGGACATTTGGAAACTGATTTAAAATATTTTCAATTATAGAACGGTAATAAAATTGTACATATGATTAAAATTTGTAAAATGCAGATAGAAAAACAATACAATTACAAAGGTCTATACAGAAGCGTCACATAATTTAGCAGTAACAGAAATATGCAATAAAACTTCAATTAGTGAGGAGAGAGCTTCACTTTATGAAATGTTGTACTACATTTCATGACTCCCTTCTTATTCATTCAGCAGTCAAAAGCTTAAGAACGTGGTGATCTCGTAATGTGATGTTGATGAACCTTTGCCTACCTGTTATAGGAACAATACAGGCGAACAGCAGCATCAACAACGTAGCCGATTTCATCTTGCTTCTGAGCAGATCGCCGACGTTACTGACTATGTATGACTGAGGCCTCGCGGACTGAGGCCTCGGGTTTTTATACATTTATGCATTAGGCGTTCTATAGATCATTATGTTTTATGACAACCTGGTTTCAATACTCGGTGACAGGTGTTCATTTCATGATTCATGGCATGTAACCAAAGCCGTCTAAGGCCACAATAAAAAATTAAAAAATTCTCAGCCCTTCTCTTCTCTGGTTAGGTAGATCGAATGATGATTTAAGTCTTAAGCCGACTTCCCTTCCACTCCAACCGAACTTCATAATGCTACTAAATGAAATGACAACGCTCTGAGGCGTCCTATCAATGGCAGTACGAAGTGGATATATTAACAACTATGAACATAGTTATAAAATCCCTGGACCGGATGCAAAAAAAAAATTGTTTGCTAAAATTATTAGCGTCACACGAAGATCCAAATAAAGAATTCATTTGAGCGCTACAGTGCATGGCAGAGTCCTTGTACTTGGTAACATGATCTCATAATTACGGGCAAACACAATGTTCAGACAGTGGTGAATAGCTTGCACGCCTCATAAACTGACATGCATGGGTTGCTCCCTCTTACGTCCGGAATGTGGCTGACAGTTCTCATGACTCATCTTCAATGTTTCGTATTGCAACCCGCCAGAAATAGACAGAAATATCAGTCATCATGTTTTTTACTTTCGAGTGAGTGAGTGAGTGAGTGAGTGAGTTGGGTTTACCGCCTTTAACAGTATTCCAGTTATATCACGGCATGTCAGCTTAATGTGGGAGGAAAGCCAAAAGTGATGCAGGTATCAGACGTTCACCACTTTGGTGAAACCCACGAGCACGGGTATGGTGCTGACAAACCTAGAAACATAATCAGGGCGACCCGGGACTCGAACCCACAATCACAGGTTTCCGGCGTGCCCAAGGGACGCAACTCTGCACAGCAAATCGCGGCGCCTTAGACGACTGGGCCACCCGTGCCCCCTTTTCACTTAAGAGAAAAGTACTCCCCAGGAAACTCATGACCGCATGTCACAAGTGTAAGTGCCCTAGCTATTCCACTGTTTAACGTTTGGCAGCTGTGTTTAAGGCTGGGAGAACAAACAGTAGTATGTAACTAGCGAGTTTCCGAGATAGTCCGGTGACGTCATATTACGCAATATTACGTCACCTCTGATATTCGCTGGTCTGGCTCTGGCGGTTATCTCCCAAAACGCATACAGCCTAGTACCCCTACATTTGGTTGAAACCACAAAGGGATTTAACCTTCTTATAATGGAACAGTCCCAAAGACTAATTAATCCATGAGAGTAAAGGATGAACCAAGTAAAGATAAGCTGGATTAACATTTGGACAGATTGACGGAAACTGAGTAAAAGATTATATTAATTAACTTAAGATTGGTTTGTTTAAACATATTATATTTCTAAAGAAACCTGAATCGGTGAACAAGCAGGTTTGCATATTTTAACACTGTTCCGGGAAATACAGAATTGGTTTAAAACCGAGTAAAGGTTGAACCAAGAATGTACCTAAAAAGTAAGGTGAAATGGGGTTTAACGTCGCGTCCAAGATTATTGCACTTTTATAGCGACGTGCTTGCACGTGTAGGTATGTGTGTGGCTGCTTGTACTAGTCCGGACTGATGCCGATTTATAGTGCTAGTTCACTGAGATACCATGCCGCAGTTTAACATGAATACCCCACTCAGACACAGTATACTGACTCCGAGCCGACCAGTCCTTGTTTTAGCCCCTTAATGCCGAGCGCCAGACAGGGTAACAACAAGTACCATCTTTTAATGTCTTTTGGTATGACGCGGTCGGGCATCGAACTCCGGGCGGACTCTCTACCACGGAGGCGGTCTGAATGTACCTAAAGTATTTAAATAAATCAATTTCAACCAATTGTATTGAGAGTACGTTTGTGATGGTATATAAGCGTTGTCAAAAAATGACTGCATATCTCCAGAATGTTGAGTTTATTTTTTCAATTGTAATTGGATACATTAGTTAGGATTCTTTGTATATTATTTGTTTCTGCTATGTGATCGATGTAAAACGTTAAGCATTGGAACACACAAAACCATGAGTCTAAACTGTTAAGTGATGAAAAGAATCAAGATTAGATGTAGAAAAGTAAAACATTGGTCAAATTAAGTAAATAGTATACTATGCATATTTACCTCAGAACGAAGTACATGAAACCGTCTTTTCCATCGACCAAATGTTCTTTCTGTTGTACCTCTTGTAGCACACAAGCTGTCATTGCATCTCTGCTGAGCAGTGCCTTATGGAGTCGTGTATGGGGTTTGGAGGAAAGGTCTGCAAGGATATCCACTGTCTCCCAATAGAAAGCCATCTAATACTGAAGTGTGCGATATCTCTAAGTGTTCACACAAAGTGGAGGTTCTAAATATGTGGCTATCATGAGTTGATCCCGGCCATTTAGCACACACATTCGTAAATTTACCTACAAATCAAACAAATCATTCAGAAAATTAAGCAATGTTCGTAATGGGTTAATTCTACAGTAAACTACGGTTATAGCAAACACGCTTATAACGAACTGATGGATATAACGAACTTACGTTTTTGGTCCCCGACTATTTGCTGTAGTTATGCTGTATATATGCTTATAACGAACTACGGTTATAACGAACTAAAATTAGTTGTCCCCATGAGTTCGCTATAACCGTAGTTTCCTGTATTTCTATTGTAGGCATATGTAGTATATATTACAAATTTATTTCAGCTATATTTTCTTAAAATTACAGTCTCTTTACACAGTTTAGAGCTGTAAAGAACTTTAAAAACATTACTACGATCCCGTGTTAGGTGTCTAGAATATCCCTTTTGTATTTATATTGAGTAATGAGAGAATTTACGCAAACCATCCATTATTTATCTGATTCCGAATCTTTTTAATGCAGAATTTTATAGACCTTGGAAGGGAAGCTACTCTAATTGCAAAAAGGGACAGTACTCTAATCTCACAAGACGTACCTTCGTGGTCACACACTGCCTGTACGTTGATACTGTGGTATCGTTTCTGATTAACGTAAGCTGGTTCGTCTGTGGTCGGTGCCTGAATACGTATGTGCGTACCATCAATGCAACCTAGGAAACTCGGAAAACCACCAAGGGCGAAAAATCCATCTTGAACCTGACGTATGTAGCACTCTTGTGTTGGCCATTTTATGAATTCGTTCTTTCTTTTAACCAAGGCATCAGTCACATCGACTATGACACATGAAACTGTACTTTTGTCCACCCCCATCGTATCACCAATCACTTGAAGGAAACTACCACTTGCGTAAAAACGGAAAGTTATCATCAGTTGTTGAATAGGTCTTCTGCAACCCATGCTTGCCGTAAAAGGCGACTAACGGGATCGGGTGGTCAGGCTCGCCGACTTGGTTGATGCATGTCATCGATCCCAATTGCGTGGATCGAGGCTCATGATATTAATCACTGGATTGTCTGGTCCAGACTCGATTATTTACAGACTGCCGTCATATAGCTGGAATATTGCTGAGTGCGGTGTTAAACAACAAACAAACCAACCAACCAGTTGTTGATCGACGTTTAGAGCATGGCTACGTTGTGTAGGGCGCTCAAAATCTTCCCTCAGTATTTTGGCGATGTAGTTGATAGATACCCGCCCAAATCTGTACCTATCACGAAGTTCACTGTCTGTGTAGTTCATTAATGCAAAATTAACAGCTCGGAATCGCTTCTGTTGCCTCGCATTAATCTCTGGAACCATGTAAGCGGCACTAGGCCTAACCATGAACGCCATTTTGTTTCAACGACAACCAAGGTGTTAAGTATTTAACGGAGGTCGGGTGGTGTGTTAACTTTGACGGGTGTTTAACCAGTCGTTAAAGATAACCAAGAGAAACAACATAACCATTTGGTAAAATTGAACGGAGAGTTAACAGTGACTTAACGGCTGGTTAAGAGTTAACCGGGTTTCGAACAGCCGGGCCCAAGTGCCTCCCTATTCTATGCTGATGGCTGATAAAGGTTTTAACATTGCAAATGAATGTGCAGACATGTGTCTATCTATACATGTTCCGCCTGGAGGGAAAGGCCCTAGCCAGATGACTTGTGCTTCAGTGCGTAAGACAAAACGGATTGCGAACCTGCATATTTTAGTGGAACAGGTAATTAGGCATTCCGTCTGCTCAAGACTGAGCTTCCTATCACCCTAGTGCTTTACATAGATGACATTGTCACTGTTTGTTGTGCCCTTGTCAACTTAAACCCTCTGGATGCCGAGGTTTTTTTCTGACGCACATTTTCCTAAGATTGGAAAAGTGAAGGTTGTGCGAGAATTGCGCTCACGCGGGACTGGATCTACCTCTGGCTATAAAGTTACGCAGAGGTGGAGAATATTAAATTTCCTATTTGATGGTGTAAATTTAACTGCAAATATTTAAGAAGTCTATTTATATGTCCTGATATGTCTTCTTCTTGTTGTATTGTCAATTTATTGTAAAATATATAAGATAAGTTTGAATGTGTTGGATTTTCTCTCTATCTATAAAGTGGAGGCACGGGTGGCCCAGTCGTCTAAGGTGCCTCAATTTGCCGTGCAGAGTTGGGCACACCAGAAACCTATGATCCTGGGTTCAAATCCTGATTCTCCCTGAGTATGGCTTTAGGTTTGTTGGCACCATTCCAGTGCTCATGGGTTTCACTAAAGTGGTAAAACGACTGAGACCTGCATTACGTAGGACTATCGATCAAAGTGGCGCTAAGGTAATCCTATAACCTTATTTCCTACATGTCCTAGGAGTGGTCGGGTAGCCTAGTGGTTAAAGCGTTCGCTCGTCACGCCGAAGACCCGGGTTCTATTCCCGACATGGGTACAATGTGTGAAGCCCTTTTCTGGTGTCCCCCGCCGTGATATTGCTGGAATATTGCTAAAAGCGGCGTAAAACCATACTCACTCACCCCTACATGTCCTGTGAATCCCTCCTTTCCAATGGTGATAAAAAATAACATTCTAATCACTTCATTTGTTTGGTGTATCTCTACACCCGTACCTGCACAACTTCTTTATTACAATGACTGCGACGTTTAAATTCAGTCATCATTGTCGTATACAAACAAACATGTAAAGTTAATGCAAGTTTAAACAAATCAACATATTGATTATTAAAATATATTGAAAATACTCCTTGACTGATAGTATAGCACTGAGTACAATGCAAACAATGCAATTAATATGAATTCACAATGTCATATTTAATTCACACACTTTGGGCAAAACCAGGAATCATCATCCTGTGGCACATCTACAACACCTACACATCTAAAATGGCACCACATTGTGCAACAACTGCACTTGATGGACTCCTGAAGTCGACTGGATGGCTCGTCGATACACTGCTGTCCACAGGTGAGGTGAAATTGGGTTTAACGTCGCGTCCAAGATAATTGCATTTATATAGCGACGTGCATGTACGTGTTTGTGTGTGTGTGGCTGCTTGTACTAGTCCGGACTGATGCCGATTTATAGTGCTAGCTCACTGAGATACCATGCCGCAGTTTAACATGAATACCCCACTCAGACACAGTATACTGACTCTGGGCCGACCAGTCCTTGTTTTAGCCCCTTTATGTCGAGCGCCAGACAGGGTAACAACAAGTACCATCTTTTAACGTCTTTTGGTATGACGCGGTCGGGGATCGAACCCCGGACCTTCCACTCTGCCACTAGACCACGAAGGCGGTCTTATGAATCAATGACATAACCCAAACTCGGTTAGTGGTTTTTATTTTCAGATATCGCTTACTGAGTTCCACTACAGGACTGGGGGAACCGTTGCGAGAAAATCTGAAAAAGAAATGAGAAAAGTAGAAGGAAAATCCAACTTCAGTTCAAATTATTCAGTCTATCCTGATCTGACGGGCTCAAAGCTTTAAAAACATAGAGCCAGTTTCTTCTGATCAAGTTCCTGAACAGTTGAGGTGAAATGGGGTTTAATGTCGCGTCCAAGATTATTGCACTTATTTAGCGACGTGCTGCACGTGTGTGTCTCTGTGTGTGTTGCTGCTTGTACTAGTCCGGACTGATGCCGATATTTAGTGCTAGCTCACTGAGATACCATGCCGCAGTTTAACATGAATACCCCACTCAGACACAGTATACTGACTCCGAGCCGACCAGTCCTTAATGCCGAGAGCCAGACAGGGTAACAACAAGAACCATCTTTTAACGTCTTTTGGTATGACGCGGCCGGGGATCGAACCCCGAACCTTCCGCTCTACCACTAGACCACGGAGGCAATCAAATTTCCGTAAACGTGTGTGCATGTACTAACGCCAACAATGTCATCAGTGAACTACACGATCCCATCGTCAATAATTCTCAGGTCTGGATTCACTAAGGTCCTCGGAATACTAACGGTTGCTTTCGGTTGAGTCGCTATTTTGAATCAGCGAAAGGGAGAGCTCAGAACAATGGACGCTCAGATTATTACATCAGCAATGTTTTCGCGCAACATGTGCCATAACCTAGGAACAATCTACTCCACACATTGCTTCAATGTCAGGCAACGGAAGGGTTCGCACAACGTTCATGCACGGAGTAGGATTCATTTGACTTCCGTGAGATAACACGGCCTAATGTCATTAGTTGGCTAAAAATAGACACACGTCACCACCACACCACAAAGAGGGAAGTGAAGGTCGTTGAAACCAGAAATTATTCTAATTATTATGCTAAAAATCGAGCAAAAAAACCTCTCAGTATGTTTTATTTTCCATTGACAAAATCATATGTTTGCGATGTTATATCCCCGAAATAAACTGTACTAGCTCTTAGTCAATGTTTCATTGGATTTCTTGTTTCCGTGACCGGCCGTGCCTAAAATTGAGCCAGCCCCTAAAAGCACCGTAAACGATATTTTCAACTCAAATTCATTTTTGCACCCGTCTTGGGAAGGACTCGGGCAGAGTTAAACTCACCTGTAAGTTTGCTGAAGTCCATGCCACAAGTACTACAGCAGGGTGGTGGGCCGCAACACTCTGGGCAGAACTTCACAAGTCCCCCAAGGAGTGGGTTGGTCACGTCACGGCGGACCGTGCTCAATGGCTTGAACAGATCTGCAAACAACCGCCTTTTACTTCATTTAACGCCGTTTTAATTTTCAGGTGAAGGTAGATATTGTGGAGGCTTAGACGCTTGGGTCGTGCCCATTACTTCATTGAAACGTTCAATCTCTTGTAGATCTGGTATATTTCAATATCTCAATAGCTCAATAGCTCAAAAGTACTGACTGGTACCCATCATACAACGTACCTGGATTTATGCCGCAGTAGTTGCAGCAAGGGGGAGGGGCGAGGGGGGGGGGGGGCACCGCAATAGCTCAAACAGTACTGACTGGTACCCATGATACAACGTACCTGGATTAATGCCGCAGTAGTTAATGCAAGGGAGAGCACCGCAATAGCTCAAAGAGTACTGACTGGTACCCATGATACAACGTACCTGGATTCATGCCGCAGTAGTTGCAGCAAGGGGGGGGGGGGGGGGGGCAATAGCTCAAACAGTACTGACTGGTACCCATGATACAACGTACCTGGATTCATGCCGCAGTAGTTAATGCAAGGGAGAGCACCGCAATAGCTCAAACAGTACTAACTGGTACCCATGATACAACGTACCTGGATTCATGCCGCAGTAGTTAATGCAAGGGAGAGCACCGCAATAGCTCAAACAGTACTGACTGGTACCCATGATACAACGTACCTGGATTCATGCCGCAGTAGTTACAGCAAGGGGGGGCACCGCAATAGCTCAAACAGTACTGACTGGTACCCATGATACAACGTACCTGGATTCATGCCGCAGTAGTTACAGCAAGGGGGGGCACCGCAATAGCTCAAACAGTACTGACTGGTACCCATGATACAACGTACCTGGATTCATGCCGCAGTAGTTACAGCAAGGGGGGGCACCGCAATAGCTCAAACAGTACTGACTGGTACCCATGATACAACGTACCTGGATTCATGCCGCAGTAGTTAATGCAAGGGAGAGCACCGCAATAGCTCAAACAGTACTGACTGGTACCCATGATACAACGTACCTGGATTCATGCCGCAGTAGTTACAGCAAGGGGGGGCACCGCAATAGCTCAAACAGTACTGACTGGTACCCATGATACAACGTACCTGGATTCATGCCGCAGTAGTTAATGCAAGGGAGAGCACCGCAATAGCTCAAACAGTACTGACTGGTACCCATGATACAACGTACCTGGATTCATGCCGCAGTAGTTACAGCAAGGGGGGGCACCGCAATAGCTCAAACAGTACTGA